AACGTAGTGAACCAAATAAGATATCTACCAGGCAATTTTAATAAAAAATAAAGTATACTGAAATTTATAATAGCTTAGGTACATGTTGTTTTTTGTTTGCTTTTCTTCGACGCTAGTTCCATAAGGTAATCCAAAAATAGTGCTTGTGATTCTAAACTCGTGTACTAAACGCATTAAGTAGTACTACTCATGGCTTGTGTGGTAAGTATCCTTTTACTAAAACAATGAATCTCGTATCGTCAGGGTAAGAGAACTTGAGAGGTTTTCTCGATATCGGAAGTAAAGGGTTGGTCCAGGGCGTTTTGTTCTAGTAGTATCAAAACCTTGTTGATAAAATAAATTAATAAGATGTCGGGACCAACAAAGGAATCGATCAAACGCAATACAAATTTGCGCATAACGTAGAATTGGAAAATGACTAGTTGTTCGGGAACAGTATGGTCAGTTTCATTACCAGGAAAACCGCCTTGATTTACTTTAATGGGGTTTACTAGAACTTTCCACTAGATATGTGGGCCTGAATACTTTTCCATACATCAGGTAGCAAAGTCTTTTTTATAAGCTTTGGAACTTGCGAACGCTGAACTAAGCCAGAATTCGCTCAGTGATTGGATTTTTTCCAGCAGCCGTGCCCAGTTGGTCCATTCATCAACAAACGATGACTCAGAAAGCGGCCAAGCTTTAAGATATCCTTCCGAAGAATCAAGCGGGTCCCAGATATTGTATGCCAGACTAATGTCCCGGTTGCTGCCGCATCAGAAAACGCGTACAAATAACTAATGAAATGATATTTTTGTGAAGAGATTTTTAAAATAAATGATATGATATATCACACGCTTGTTCACACCGGCAATCACCCCTTCCAATGTTCGATCTGCAGCAGACGTTTCTCAGCCAGATCTAATATGAAAATGCACAAAATGAGTGAACATAGAAATCAAAACTGTGGCAGTTCGATCTGAGTTAGCCGCATTGGATCGCATCGCTCATAAATCTAGCAAAGGAGCAAGGTTTTGTGCTAAAATTACCCCTCATTTTTCAAAGGGAAATGGAGTAGCGTCAAAGACCAAAATCCACTTCGTATTCGCTCTCTATGGCGGAGGCACTCGGAAAGTAATCCGTTTGATGGCTACCACCCGCTGGTGTACCGTATGGATTATCGTCACTTTTTTCCTAGAAGTCTATGCTAAATTTTCGTTTTTTAGTGGGTACTGTAGTAATTCGTTGTTTTCAGAGTTTTCCAGCTTTTTTTGTGATTTCCCTGAACGTATTTTCTGGTTGATAAAGCGACTTTTTGCAAACTTTTTTGCCGACTTCTCAAAGCAACTAAAAGTTAAATTAAAACGAAACGAGTATTTCTTTGAATACTTATACTTTTATCAACTGGCATACAGCTGGCTACATTTTCAATTCGTTCGACCAATGCTGCGGCGTTTGGTTGTCAGCTGCTGGCGATGCTGGCGTTCGCTTCATCTCCCGAATCAACGATTCCCTGGATAGGTATGCTCGATAAGGCGTATCCGTTTCAATGCGTTGTTGAGTGAATCGAGCTACACAACTTCATTTGGAACGTTACCATCCCTTGATACGAAAAACTTCCTACCGATTTTGAGCTCACTAGTATATCACACTTACTGTTGTCTTTAACTATTGACCTTCCAGTAGGGATAGAAAGTTCTCCAGAATAGGATCGAGGAGATGATCCAGAGTCCAGAAAGGCTAAACACTTTCTTGAGTATTTTCTATGTAGGCCCTATCACTAGAACTGTAAGAAAAACTGACGAATTAAACAGGCGCTACCAGCAAAGAGAGAAAATTTGTGGGTAATTTCATCACAGGTGATGCGAAATATGCCACTTGGTAATTCTCGGTGCACAGACTATCGATAATGCCAAATTAGTCGAAATTTGGACCTGAGGTCACAGGTTAAATTTTATTTGAGTTCGCAAGTCTGTTCAGAGCAGTTCCTCCTTCATTATACTTCTGATCCGAAACAAAGATTATCACTGCTGCCCGGCTTACAATGCGCTAAAAAATCAGCTAACAGCTAGAATAGGACAGTGTGTTTTTAAGGAAGAAAGTTGTCTATAGCATCTACAAATTCAAAAAACTTTGTAACTGTGCAAGAAAAACATCTAGAAAGTATTTTTCAAAATGCACCTCTTGAAAAATTAGCTAGTAACACATTTTACCGCGAAGTCAGAAGTAAACACCTCGTGATTGTTGCTCAAGTTCTTCGTAAACATGTATGATCCCGTCCTTCATTTATTCTCAGGTTCAGAAATGCTTTCAAATAGAATTCTGCTGAGATAGTGATGTAAGAAAAATTATAACGCACATATGAATAATCCGATACCAAATTCATACACATACAGACAGCGTACCATAGCAGCGGCATTTGGTAAAATTACGCAGGATTAAGGCAATACAGCAGCAGGATCCAAACGAAAACACTGATGGTAATAGGCTTCATTCCGCGATACGTCGATAGATGTTTATTACCAATCGCTGCTCCATTTCATTCGTTTAAAAGCGGCGCTGAAACTGTGAATTCATCAGGCGATGAAAGTGGCTCTTCCCCGAATTCTTCTGGCGTAAAGTGTATGAGAACAGTGCTTTTTACCATGTGGAAAGGCCCCAATAAAGTCATTAATGCGGGATACTCGAAATGATTGCCCGAACAACCTTAGTGACCTCAATGATTAGAGCTACAAAGTCTCTCCGTTACGTAAAAAGGCCAAAATGAGTGGTACTAATAAGATCCACGAAGCTCAAAACAGCTACACTAACAACACTAACACTGAATATCCGCACTGGTTGTCCGGGCAGTCTTAATGATCTAAATGGCCTTATGGACATGCGTTGGAATTTCTGTGCTCTTCCACTAAGTTTTCTGTAGTATAGCTGTCATGAGCGAATATACTGATGTTATAGAAAGCATTGCTGTGGTTTTTAAAGTGCGTGAGGCGATAACTAATTCTGCTAAGAAAGTAAAAATTAAAAAATTTGGTGGCATGAAGAAGGCAGCAGGGGAAGAAGCAAATAAAAATGCGACCATTGCTAACATAGGTCTATTTGCCACAAATTGTTTGCGAGACCAATATCCTAAAAATGCCAATTAGCATCTCCCCTGGTTTGTATTAACTCGAGAAATGAGCAGGAACTGAAGTCTTTGGTTAAGAAAAAGATTTAAGAGCCATAACTCATAACATTTCACTGAACTGCTTTATTTCGGATAATTAGGATACGACATTGCTGCTTTCTCACAACCCGTAGCCATTAAGCTCTAAATCCAGCAAAACTAAGGGTATTTCAGTAATCATAACCTTTTGATTAACTGGCGATGAAATGCAATATGTTCCAAAGTATTCTGGAGCTATTTGGGACTTTTTTGTTAATTTTCACTCTTGGAGCTCAAAATCAAGTACGTTTTACCTACATTTAAATTTGTTGTGAGCAAATACCGAGGTTTTTGTCTGTGCGGCACGAAATTCATACGTGTAGTTGCAGTAGCATTCCAAAATCAGTACTTAAATTCTGCTGGCGAACAAAGTCGAGCCCGAGATTTTCTAAAAACATAATTCTTGCTGTGTGTCAAAACACGCTAACAGGCATTTGATCTGGAAAGTGGCACTATTGTCGTGCGAAAGACCGAGAGTTCAATTTTGCCATTGATACAACCGATTTCTTTGCTGAACTTTCATTCGTTTCAGTGGTAAATCGGCAATGTAATATGACAGTGAATCAAACTAGCAAACAGCTTACCTAATAAATTATTTTCAGAAGAGGAAACTACTGGCAGTCTTTCCAAGTAATTTTGCTAATACCACACTAGCTATACTCGAGTTCCTCCACCTTATAAAGAGAGTGAAGACGGACTCAGCAAGGGGAGATGGTAAAGGGGTGACAGTTCTTAACGTTTCAGACAGTGCGACCGCGAGCGCACTCAAACAGTATTCGATGGAAGACGAATTTCATCGTCGATGAGGTGAATAATTTGCGCGTGCCTAATTCCAAAGAATGCTAAAATTAGCTAAGGAGAAAATGGCCAAGAGCGGTCGGTGTGGAAGAACCACATACCAGTGCTGCGAAATTTTTCCAAATGCTCAAGTTTTTGCTAGTTTACTAGTTGCACGCTCTGAAAAAAAAATTCCTTTTTGAGCCAGCTGCATACTTCACATTACGAGCGGGACCGGAACAAGTGGAAGCGGAAGATCTAAGCAAACAAAATGTTTGCAGTCAGTCATCATCAGGAATCAGAGAGAGCGAAAGTGATAAAAGAGGTCCTCAGCTGGAGTACTGGACACCAAACCATTGGCTTCCAGCACCTTGGACGGAAACGAATTCGCTCGGAATGATGAACTGGCAACCAAGCGAATCCACCACCGCATCTTATGTGACTAGAAGGGAAGGAACTGAATCAAAAAAGTAATTTTCCTATCAATTTTGTAGAAGTTGGAGAGCCTTGGCACAGTTTAGCCTAGTCTCTGATAACATCACTAACATAAGATGCGAACGCAGTTTTTCCGGACGATCTTCATATCATTGGTATTAGAGAAGTGTTAGCGGCATGTCCCAAGGGAAATTCTCCATAATTTGCTGTAGAAATTTCTTTTTTGCTAAGCTGCTTCTGAACTGTGTTCCATTCGAAGAAGTTATGAATGTTTTTTCAAGGTTACAACTTCTCCAAAAAAGTGGCTAGAAATTTGTCCGCAGAATCTTTTAACATTGTAAAGGTACGACAATTTAAAAATACATTCCCGAACTTTCATCTCTCCCCATACTAGAAGTGCAAGTTAACCAAACCGTTTGATTCACCACGTGGCAAGTACAAACGGAGCTACTTCTGCAAATTTGATTTCTACTTATCGAATTTCATGACTCGAGAGCCAGTGAAGTTAAATTGGCTGCTATCGGAGCTATAATCCACTACTATAAACCATTACCAAGACAAGTACCGAGTTTCCGAAATTCCAATTCCCCAGTTTTTTCCCTTGAAGATGAAAGACCTTGAAAAATCCACACATATACTCACAAACACAGATGCACGCAAAACACACACACAAACATGCGCACACATACGCACCGTGCCATCAACACGCATTTTCAAGTTTTTTTGCAAAAATGTAAAAGGACTTTTCCCTAATTCACTCTATGAGTTGTTATATCGCCTCATCACCCAAAAAAAGAGAGAGAAGAAAAACCGAATTTTTCGGAATTTTCATCTCGAATTTGTTTAAAGGAATTTCAATTACTGCATGAAGTGGATTTATCTGCATACAGCGCATGCCCGCATTTTCCCAGCAAGTTTGCAGGCTTGAAGATTTTTCAGTACCGTAGCTGGTGAAATCCTTTTTTTAGTTGGCTTCCGAGCGCTATTCAAGATAAATTTAGCTTCCGCAGAACGAATTTTTTTTTCAGCCATCATACCCATTTGGCCCGATCGTCAACAAGCCGTCGGTCGAAGCACGGCCGAACACTTCAGTACAGTCCAGTGCGCGGCGGTTCAAAGTCCTGGCGGCACTTGTCACCCGTCGGCCAAGCATCACAGTCTCCTCTGCTACACAGCCCTCAAGTAACTTGGCTTCCTGTGCTATCGCATGAAAAAATACGTGAAAATATAAGATATCCAGTGAAATGTGCATTATGTAACAGAGTTTATGAACGATATTATATGGCTGCTCACGAGCGCACTCACACCGGCGAGCAGCCTTTCCAGTGTCCGATCTGTCCTAGACGTTTCTCAGAGAAAGGTAGCATGAAAATGCATGTGGTGCGTATGCATGGGATCAGCGATCCACATGAACTGGAACTTCTGACAGAGCCAGCCATTATGGAACCCCAGCATCCATAAATCCAGCGAATTATTCAGCTCCTTTCGCTGAAATTACTCCTTATAATTCTAAGAGGAGGGAGTTATTCACAGTGCCAAATCACCCTTTCTCTTTACTTTTTAAGAGAGGCGGAAGCACTTGGGAAGTATCCCGAATAGCAGCAACCATTCGCAGGCATGCCTTGTAAAGGCGTAACTGTTGTTTTTTTTTCTGGGAATTGGTGATAAATTTTTATTTTGTACTGGGAG